TATATATCGAATATAGAGTATATATCTTGTATATATCGTTCTATATCTTGAAAATAGGATATATATCGAATATATCGTGTATATCGTGTATATCGCCATGAATAATTTTAAGAACTGATTCAACAAACCCTGTATTGGGGATATATATCCGATATATATCTTGGAGACAGAATATATATCGAATATAGCGTATATATCATGTGTATATCGTTCTATATCTTGAAAATAGGATATATATCGAATATATCGTGTATATCGTGTATATCATCATGGCTAATTGTAAGAACTGATTCAACAAACCGCTGTATTGGGGATATATACCCGATATATATCTTAAAGACAGGATATATATATCAAATATAGCGTATACATCGTGTGTATATCGCTCTATATCTTGGCAAGAGGATACATATCGAATATAGCGTGTATATCGTCATGGGTAAATGCCAGGAACATGATAAAATCTGGAGAAGTATATCTGGCCAGATTTTATATAGCCTTATATATCGACGATATATATCGAATATATCACATGTAAGTCAATGAGAGGCAGTATAGCGATATATATCGCTATACAACGATATAGCCATTCCTGCACCATTCTCGGAAAAACACAGAGAGGATTATGACTCCCGGCTAGAGGCAAAAACAAGGCGGTCCCTTGTTAGCTCGCTTATTAGGCCCAAATTGCTGAAGTCTCCATCCATTTTGATATTCATTTACTCTTCCTGCTCAGAAACTCACTGAATGCTGTTGTCTCTCACGATGTCATCTTCCTTTTAATCAATGAGATATACATTGTGTTTGACTCTAAAATAATTTTAGCAAACAATGATTTTAGGATGTGCCGGTTTCCGATCACGCGACGCTTATGGATGGAATAACATTGTTTTGAAAAAGCCATAAAAAGTCCACAGCCCCGAAAAATTAGCAAAAAAGAACGGTTTTATCTTTTAACTGTTACAGATTTCAATTAGATTAAAAATATCGAATAACATTTCATCGTTGAGAAAAATACACGCTGTTCAAGTAAAAACACAACAATAGTATGCATTAATCGTTCTAAAAGATGTATTTTATTGAACTTTAATCACTCAAACAACAGATTCTACACTTGATGATCTACTAGATAGTGTTGTTGAAGTGTTTAGTTAGTGTTGTCTGCAAATTTACAAGTTTATTTTGACCGATATGAAAATGCATATTTTGTGGTCTAGGCTGCTATCGTTTTTATTGATTTTATTACTTATCTGAATCCGCAGTCTCTTCTCTTGGAGTGCCTCCGCAAATATAATTGAAAAACTAGATTGAACAATGAGTTATTCGAATACCGTCTTACCACTTTTAATTTGGGCTAATATAATATTTATGTGGGGTTTACTCAAGCTCCGTTAACAATGTAAATTCCAAAAGATAAAATTGATAATCAGAATCAAAGCTGCTATTGTTAATTAATATAAACTTGCGTGATCGGCTGATATTTGCAGAATACAAATTAGTTATGCAATAAAAATGCCAAGATACAGTTTCATGGACCGTTTGAAATATTTGCTTTACATTTACCCCATCAAAAAGTACCTAATTCCATCTGTTCTTTCAGTGATCTATGTGTAGAAACCACTCATGATATGATGAAATCAATTGCAAGGGTAGGTTGATTTTGGCAGAACTGTCCTATGGTACCGATAGCCAGTCACGTGACATTTCCCATTCCATATATTTCAACTGAGTGGTAGGATTTGATTTTCAGATTTCGGCACTTATCTGTACTTTTAGGATATCAAGTGTCTCCTACTCCTTCAGAACACTTCACTTCTACCCTATCAATCTTGTTTTAGGTGTAATGGATATGATATGACATGTGTCATTTGGGATTAGGGCTCTATATCCTAAAGCCTGTTATTTATCGAAATCTGAAACTAGACAGGGGTAATAGGTTGAAGTCTATTCAACCCTTAGTTCCTTACAAACGGATCATATACCATAACACCTATTGAAACATGTATGTATGATTAACTTCTACCCCCTCCCGTAGACCGGGCACGTTTTCAAAAACAAACGATATACATTAAAATCATAATGTCTGTTAAAATAGTTAAATGAGTTGAATTTCTTGATCAAAAACAAAAGTATTGTTATGCAAAGAAATATATGTAAATAGACTTGATTAAGTAAGGATCGTAAATGAAGATTAGTAAAATACACTAGCTAGCTCAGTCCACGAGTTGTTCAATGGAAACGCAAATGGGGTTTGTAACATCGCGTGCCCTTTTCCCGCCAAATAACTTTCCAAGAAGAACAGCTGACTTTACTCGCTGTAGCCTGGCGGACATGTTGAAAACCAGAAAAGTTCAAAACTTGAAAAGTAGGTATCAGGTACAATTTTGGATATTTTAGAGCATTGTAAATAACAACAGTCATATCAACTAGGTCAATTACTTAGATTGGTAGACCAGGTACACCTGGAATGCCTGATATCACTAATAAAGTGCAGAAAACGTGTCTGAAACGGACAATAATTATCTAAAAACTTGCGGAAAAAATCGGAAATTCAAATAAATTAATAAATAATTGTAATTAGACAACTCTTCTACATTTATCTGTTGCTATGTTTAGGGATCAAATCATCTTTGATAATTCATCAAAATTAATATTTTTCTGTAAAATTTTTGGTGTCTGCTGCGCCCCTCATGTCTGACTATGGCAGCACAGAGACATTTTTATATGTCTCTGGGCAGCATTGCACTTCTGCTTTGAGAATGTCTAGCCTTTGCATCCATTCGACTTTGCTTCATCTTCACTCTCTCTGAATTTACTGAGTCAATCAGAGTTTATCGTTGAAATACCATCGGGGTTGGAAGAGGGAGGGCATTGGGGGCGACTGCCCCCCCCCACTTCCAGATTTTTTTAGATTTGAAACCGAGCCTAGAATTGAAAGCTCTAGGGCTAGTCAAAGTGACAGTGTAATAATGACAGAAATCATACTACAAGGGCCGATCAAAAAGTTTCTTACCGTTGGCTCTCAATTTTTTAATAAGAGGAGTTGGAAGCCCAAACTTTAACATGAGACAGGATAGTTAGTTTGCTTGAAACTGTACGGTTTTCATATAAATTGCTTTATTGATAGTGACGCAGAGTCAATTCATATTTTCAATGACAGAGTTAGGTGGAGCAGCGTTATATATAAAATATCTGCTGAGTTGTGGTTCTGGTAATTTACCGACATCGTTTCAAACCTCTCATACGAAGGCCTTAAACATGTGTTTTTGGATCGAGTGGACAGATTTAGGAAGTGCATTGCAACTGGGGTTGAATATTTTGAATGAGAATGAATATTAGAAGAAAAACTAATTAAACATTACTAAACTACAGTCTGTTGACAGATGACACTACTTAGTGCTAGAAATTTCAAAAACTGCAGCTTAGCACACTTTTTTTATAAAAAACGCTGCTCCACCTAATTCAATCATTGAAAATATGTATTGACTCTGTGTCACTACCAATGAACCGATTCAAATGAAACTCAGACAGTCTCAAGCAAACTTACTACCCTGTCTTATGTAAAAGTTGGAACATCCAACTCCTCTTATTATAGAATCTAGAGCCAACGGTAAGAAACTTTTTGATCGGCCCTTGTATGTATATATTTTAGTAAAAGCCAACGTTTTTTAAAACACAATTGTTATTGGGAATGTTATGCTGAGATAAGTTCAGAATGCACCAGAGAGGGTCCAGTAATGACCCATTCATACCTAAAGGTTGCCAGTCGTGGGGGCAGGGTTGCCAAACTGTAATGTAGTCTATACTACTGTAGTCAGAAGTTATCGCATCCTACGACCCCTTTAGATTGTGGTCGTAGGCCCGATTCATTAGTAAGCCTGTGTTTCTACAATGTCGGAGAATGAACTATGCATTGCATACATAAATAACCTACCTCGATACATTCCTGAGTATTTTAGAATTCTTTTCATATAGTTGAATCGCAAATTGTATGGGTTTATCGGCAGAACGAAGATATTTTCGTTTTTGATAGCAATATTTGCGTGTAGGTTCAACCGTCAAATTCCTCCATTCAGTTCCCGGCATGCACCAGTCATTAGGGAAATCCCTGGGGAATTCCCCTTCCGACATTTTGAAAATTGCTGAGATATTTCCGATGTAAAAACTAAAATCTCTTCGTTCTGATGATAAACCCATACAATTGGCGATCTAACAACATAAAAAGAATTTTAAAATACTCTGGAATGTATCGAGGTAGGTCATTTAATAGCGCAATGCGTAGTTCATTCTCCGACATTGTAGAAAGACAGGCTTACGAATGAAACGGGCCTACGACCACAATCTAAAGGGGTCGTAGGATGCGATAAGTCAGAAGGTGGTTTTTCACTAGCTAGACTCTGTACTGGACACAGGCTAGAGAATGTGTTGATCCCAGGTTAATTATCCAATGCCGAAACTGACCTGCTTACTATGAAAGGCTGAACTAAAATAAATATACCCCTGATTTTAAGGTTTATCCATCTAAATCAGAGGATCAAAATTACTATACTACAAGCCCCTGCGGGCTACAGGGAAGAAAAACAGTAGAAGCACAGTCTACAGATCTTTAATGCCATTTTGATTACAAATTCCCACAATTCATCAACATTCAAACCTCCGAGGCCAGGTCAGAGTAATGTTTCAGGGAAATGAAATCATGTTGTTTTCTCAGTTAAAAACTTCTTTTTATATGAATTATTACGTTATAACTTGACATATTACCATCTAACACAGGGAGGTGTGTTAAATGGTTCAGAAGTAATATTTAGCATCTGAAATCATTCTGCAAAAAATGTTGAACATCTTTTCACTCTGACCATGGCATAAATCATATTCAATTGTTTAGTAATATTTATAAGCTACTTGGTCTGGAATCCCCACAAGGTCATTGCTTTAGATATGGCACAAAATAATGTTAAAACCATATGTGTAATCTCTGTATATTTTTTTTTATTTTTTAGGTAAACCTCAATGGACATTTATCATTTGAGACTGAGCTACCTGGGTATAATGCCGACTTCCAGTTTCCTATGCCTTATAAGGTCATCGCAGGGTTCCTATCCGATATTGATACCACACTCTCAGGGGATGTATATTTCAGGTAAGTGACCCTGAGGAGGGTGACAAGTGCTGAAGGGTTGAGTAGAAAGAGGGGGGGGGTGTATGAGTTTGTTGGGATGGGTTGGTTGATATCAAGTTATAATGCCAAGTAAGGTCAATGGATGGTTTCTTGGGAGTGCCGAATAGGAGGGGTGGGTGTGGAGGCTACTGGTTCTAGGGTGAGTTGATACTTTCCTCTCAGGAAATGTTTTACCTCTTTACCATACCTGCAAATATTTCAGCTATACACTTGTTATATTAAAACTTACCTTTTATTACTGAAATATTTATAGGGTGAATTAATATTGATGTTTCCCTTAGTGCCATCCAAACTAACTATTAAAGGTCTGTTCAAAACATTCATAATTTTTATTAAACCAACAACTGGGTGTCAGTTTATTGGTAACCAGAAACAAGAAGCAAGGCTTCTTTGATTATGTGGTTGTTCCAATCACAATCATGGGCGTAGCGCCTATTACTCAAAATACGCACAGGCGTACTAAATGAATTTGAAAAAAATTAAAAATGTGTTAAAATGCAATAATTTATTTGCGAATTTATTGATGCTTCCTACCGTATCTGTATTTTTACCATTGTCAACATTTAAAGTTGATAAAAATGCTTAGATTCCATCAAATAACGTCCTTGAAAAAAAATTCCAGGGGGAGCATACCCCCGAACCTCCCGTGATGCGCGGACTTAGGCCACGCAATCAGGCAATACGCATCCCCGAGTGTGCGTACCAACTCAAAATATAGCCCTACGCCCATGACAATATATACTACAAATGCAATCACTGTTTCTCTCATTGTGTAGAATGTACAGTACATGTTTATACTTACATTCACATGTTTTAACTTATATTTACATCTTTTCACTATAGATAGATTTAGACCTTCTGTCTAAATATGGAAAAAGTATTTCATAAATATTTACAGTTTTCACTTTATTTAATATTTACCTGTTTATACTCAGTATACACATGTTTTCAGGGAAGAAACTGATGACAGATCCGCACTTAGACGAGCTTCAGAAGAAGTTGGCAAACATTTTCCAAGTTTTTCAGAGTTCACTGCATCTTCATTGTTTATCGCTACTTGGGAAGATGTTGGACGTTATAACCAGAACTTTGAAGAGGTAAGAGTCATTGGTACTTTCCCCAGGGTTTATTTTCAAATGGGTACATAATTTTTTCAATTATAACCAAAACATATCATTATATTTTTCAACATATCCCAACCTGGAAATTTTTCAACAAGGTGCAGTGGGTTTCGATTGGATGCAATTGTTTTTAACTGGGTGCAAATAGATATTCAAATGTATGTAAGTGTTCATTCATCTGGGTGCAGATAGAATGCAACTGGGTGCAATGTGATTTTTACATTTCAACTGGTGCATACTCCAATGCATTTGTGTTAACTTACATGTACATATTTATATCATATTTTGAAAGAAGTAAAACAATAATTTTTAGCCCTGGATAGTGTATTTGATGTATTAGATTGCATATAACTGTTAAGGGACACCTATAATGCCACTGGCGATTGGGTCCCTCATGTATGATATGTACTTAAATGATTAATGGCAATAAAATCTCTTGATAAAAAAAATATAACTGTTAAAAATAATGTTTAGTGCGCCCGATATTTTCAAAATATAATCAAAAATATAATAATTTTTCAGATTAATACATTCCAAATCATAATCGCAACAGACGGTACAAACTCATTTGCGACATTTATATACCCCGAGGATGGTATCTCCTGGCTGAAGGGGGATGGTAAGGCTTTGCCCATTGAGGACCCACCCGCACAGGCAGGGTTTGATAGTGGGGACGGTAGGACGTACACTCTCCCTGGGTCAGGCACTGACCAAGTGATTAATTATGTAAAGTAAGTTGCCTTTGATACATACAGTGAAACACATCAATGGTGAACACCATGGTGGGGCCTGGCAGTGTTAACTTCTGGGGTATCATCTTAGGTCAACATTGGAGCCAATGGGAAAAATAAAATTATGATTCTTGAAAAAGGATTTTCAGTGGAAAGAATAAAATTTGTGTACATGAAAAGGATTCCTTGTATAGCGGTTCTCATTTTAGAGAGGTGTTCAAGTTACGATTTTTTGAAACCACCAAGTTTATTGTTGGTGATTGATAGTTGGCGTTAACATCTGTAACGAGTTGTTACACTGTTATTTCGGTCTTACCAGATGATGACATTTTGTCAACTGATTTCCATGCTTAGCTGTATTCTTATGTAAATGAAATCAATATCAAGTTTTTTTGTTTTGTTTTCATTCATTTACAATGGGGAAGTTTCTAGCAATCTGATTGGCCCATGTGACTTACATATCGTATCCTGGGATACATAATCCATATTTCACATTGATGTCAATGTATCACATGTTTTGATGACTAAATCATCATTATTTCTGTTGAAAAACCTGTCAAAGTATTTATGCAAAATATTCTTTGTTACTATAGTATTTGGTATTGTCAATAAAATAATATGTTCTTACACAGTTGTACTTGTTTTTTGAACAAATGCATATACATTATTGAATATAACAACTTTGCTCGATGTTGCCATCTATTAATAGCTGACTTGTTAAAAATATATATTCAGTTTGTCTCAGTATTTAAATAATTAAAACAGGCAAAATTAGGATTTAGCATCTCATTCAGAAAAAATAGGGAGATCACTTGAAAAAGACTTTAAATGGAAGTTGAACAAAGAACTAACAACTGGCACTTAAAGAGAGGCAAACTATGTCTATTTCAACCAGTGCAAGAGTGAATAATGACCAACGGTACTTAATCATAACATTTATATAAGGAACACATATTAGGTTAAATAATGACCTGATAACATAGGAATGCAGCAAATATTTAATTTTATAGCAAATTGTTTACGATGGTAAGGGCATGAAAAATATGGATTTGGAATAATTATTTTGAGACTACTGATACTCAGGGATTGATTGCCTGTCAACTTTATTTTAAGTGACTGGTAATCGGTTAATTAAATTAAAAGCTAAATATTCATTGCATAGTTTGGTGAAATACCATTGGAATTCAGAAATAGTATGGTAATGAGGAAAAATAAATTTGGAAATATATCTATATTAATTTGCCAAATGAAGCATAGAAAACCTGATAGGTTTAACACCTCCTTTAGCTCTGCACCTCCCTAAATAGAACACTTTTCAAAGACCTATTATTATGTGAACCCATAAATTTGAATTTAAATGAATCTGATGCATTGTGGGATCCACAGCCTTTACTATCCTTTTGGAATAGTTCCGAAAAGCATTAGGTAAAGAGGGACTCTGATAAATCAGAATGAATCTGATGAAACAATTCCAAACTAGAACACAGTGTATTTTGAGGTAACAAAGGTGTTAGTTACACTTGCACAGGCATGCTGTATGTCTATTATAAATGTTTGATAATAAATGAACTGCTTGAATCATTTTCAATTTATTAAAGCATACATATAATCATATAACATACAATTGCTATTACAGTAAATGCAAGTACAAGCTGGATTTCAAAAATATTGACTGTTTATACCCAGGAATCATTCAAAGGACATGTCTAAGGCCACTTATTTCCATATGAAGACCTGATTTATTACAATACATTTATACATAATTTCACATTTTCATTATATACCTAATTCTTGCCATACATGTTTTACTTTTGCACACGCATGTAAATTAATATAAGCACATAGCAGTATATGGATGTAAATTGATGTAAACTTGATACAAGATTCTTAAGTCATGTACCAGCATTCCAAAAGTAAAAAATATATTAATTATCAATACAATGTCATATGGAAATTATTATTAGGTTACATGAAATAAGCTATTGAAAAATGTGTCCATATTACATGTTTATATACAACCTCCACCATTTTACAAATATATAAGAAAATATTTACAATTTTTTTTAAAAGACATGTTATCACATGAAGTTGTTATTGCATACAATCCATAGAACATGGTCTATGATATGCTTCATGATACATATTGTAAAAAATATATTAATTATCAATACAATGTCATATGGGAATTATTAAGACTTTTGTCATAATTGTGATAGGTACGGTATATACATTTTTATAAGGTGAACCATAATTGATAAGTTTTAGTGCTTGGTTACATGAAATAAGCTATTGAAAAAAGTGTCCATATTATATGTTTATGTACAACCTCCACCATTTTACAAATATATAATAAAATATTTACAATTTTTTAAAAAATACATGTAATCACATAAAGTTGTTATTGCATACAATTCATAGAACATGGTCTATGATATGCTTCATGATACATGTTGTCATATTGTATATGTTATATTGATCAAGTACATTTGAGGCTAGGCTAATAGACTAGATGCGAGTGGAAAAAATCTTGATTTACGCCATTATATATTCAAAATTCAGTCAAAGCGATGTTATATTTGAAATCTACATGTAAAAATACATCTAGAAATATGGTTTCGAAAATTGTTAATCAAGTTTGAGAATTTAATTATTTTTGAAAGTGTGACTTATAGCTCGGGTTGATTCTCCATAGAGCTCATGTTACAAAATCTAAAAAAGTGAAATATCTTTTCTTTTATTGGTCAGATAACATTTTCATTTACTGGACATGTTTTGATTTGCATAACTTTTAGATACATAAGGGTAATATGAAAATTGAACCACTAAAACAGATGTTATTTAAGTTAAAGGGAACTTTCTACTATACCCTCCATGCTATCTGACCCGAACGAGCCACCTGGTGGTGAAACTGGTAACTACCTACTCGCATATGCGTTATTACAAATACATTTAATATATGGTACCTCCCTGTTCTGTTTAAAACTATGTGATATGCATGTTTAAGTTTCACATAATGTGTTGTATTGCAAATATTAGACACATATTCTTAACACTTTTGTGTTAGCACATGCCAGTATATGGATAATGTAAATTGATGTAAACTTGATACAAGATTCTTAAGTCATGTACCAGCATTCCAAAAGCAAAAAATATATTAATTATCAATTCAATGTCATTTAGAAATTATTAAGACTTTTGTCATAATTGTGATAGGTACGGTATATACATTTTTATAAGGTGAACCATAATTGATAAGTTTTAGTGCTTGGTTACATGAAATAAGCTATTGAAAAAAGTGTCCATATTATATGTTTATATACAACCTGTACCATTTTACAAATATATAATAAAATTATTACAATTTTTTTATTACATACGTATAATTCATAAAATCACATAAAGTTGTTATTGCATACAATCTATAGAACATATTATCATATTGTATAAATAGGAGTTTATTTGAAACAGTTAATTACAAATACATAGAGGTTATTTAATGGGAGGGATGGAATATGAATTTTATTCCAAGGAAAAATATTATATTGGCCAAGGAAAATATCATATTGACCGAGGGCTACAGGTCAAATTCTATCATTTCATGTCATCATAATTGGGTGATGACAAAACAAACTTGGAAATAAATTAGTTTTAGAAAACATATCATGGAATAAATAGGTTATTGATGGTCATATCATGAAGGAATATGAATTGTTGACTGTTTTCCAGGTGGACCAATGTGAATGTTCCAGGAGTTTGGATGTTCCAGATCGGAGACACATTTGGAGGAAATATTGGCCAACCAGAGGAAACTGATGGTAAGTAGTGACATCTTTGTTTGTATTTGTTCAATTTCCAAGGAGCCCCTTGGAAATTCTAAACAAGAGTTCACTTCAAAAGTGAAAGCTGGCAGTGAAATGAAAGTATTAAAGATAGAAAGGAAAGTGTATAAAATGAATAAAATAATGTACCTTAACAGTTCACATATTTTGTACATGGTGCACTGATAAGCCATACGGTCATAATTTTCACCTAAAAATGCAGCCATCTAATTTTGAAGTCTCAATTATGTTAGAATTTTCTAGAGAAAATAATGTTCAATGGAGCAAACAGTAGTGCACCTTGTCTCAACAACTTTGATATTTGGAGAAATCTTGTTTTAGACAGTTGATTCATTTAACCCTTATCCTCATGGACTTGCTTTAAAGCATGGTGCTAAGTCCCTATATATATTTGGAAAGCATAGTGTTAAACTGATTGTTTTGTGATACCATTATGGCAGTCTTAATATTGGAGGTTTTTCCAAGAATCAAAAAAAGATTTCATATTGCAACTAAAGCTGACCAAAACACCACAAATATCAAGAAAAATGGCAAATTAAAATCATTAATTAGAATTAGAATCATTAGATCATTAAATGCGAATTAGAATCATTAGCATATTAGCAGAAGTACCCCATATGGTGCAGATAGTGAAGAAATAAGGTGAAATGAAAGTTTGTGATGGTCTTCTCAATCAATATAAATTTCAAAACTTTTCAAAAATATTAATTTCATTCTTGATTTTAAGGCTTCAGATAGGCGTAAATCTAAACTAGTGAACTTTTCTGCCATATTAAATCAGGAAGATAAGGGTTAAAATCAGTGAAACCAGATGAAAATGCCCACAAAAATGAGGTATAAGAAACATGATTTTACTAGGCATAAATAATGACTGCAAAATTAGGTGTGGAATTGCAGAATCATAAATTTTAATCAATTCTTGAATGAACCAAATGATTATTAAAGGTCATGTGAGGTATGGCACCACAAGTACTTTCTGGGCATAAATACAATGGGTTTTATTAAAAAATGTTTGCTTTCAAGGGAAGTCCCCATAATGATAAATATATCAATCAAACAATTCGAAAATTATGAATAGAGACCCCATTTCAACAATTTTCCAAAATGTTGAACCTAGTTACACAAAAGAGGATCTTCTCTGATATTTATTGCAATCAAAGGAATTGTTAATATAGTGTGCAATAAACTTTTGATGTGTTTAAATTGAATTTAGAAAATAGGCCTAACATATTTAAAAAAGTGCCTAGGTGCTTATACCATAATTTTTGAGTTGGATTGATATTTTACTAACGATTGGAATAAATATGCAGGATTGGCAGAGTTAATAAACTTTTCTGCAGTCCTGTTTTTGGACACCCTGTACTCTGGTACTTTATTTCTCACAGGTTTGATTGTGGGTCATTCTTAATTTGACTGTCTTAATTTTAAAAATTAATTTTAGAAAACACAGAGAAATCCTGCAAAATTCCAACAGAATAAGCGTTCTCACTTTTAGAATTCTGTAATTTCACTTGCAGAAAACTAGATAACAGTTGTAACAGTTGATAATTGACAATACATGTACTATACGGAATTGCCAGAGTTCTATGCTAGTCTTGTTTCATGTTCTCAAAGCCTACTATTTGCACTTGCATTACATATTCTTCCAGAACATGTCATATAACTATAAACATTTCCTGAAGACCCTTCAAACCTCATCTTAAATTTTTCAAAGGCATCATACAAAGGAAAGGCATATGCAATCTTTGTATTGCCCCTATATTCTTGTAAGTAAAGCATGCCAATTATGTAACATTTCTTATTAATTCTATCCCTGACATACACCAAAGAACCACCATCACCAAAATCTGCAAATGGCTGGTCATTAAGGCTACAAATCTGTATGGCATTTAGCATGATAAAGGTCTTCAATGTGCCATTAATTTCACATTGGACTATACCACTGAATGAGGAATTCATAACTTTTCCCATGGTGTGACCTGTTCTCATACCCTTCTTTTGTACTATATGTAGGTTTTGTTCTGCAATAAAGTCTACAGGCTTTAATTCACAGTTAAAACACCGGTTAACATTAAAATTCAATCTTATCAATGCAAAATCAGATGTTGATATTTGTCCTTCATTGTAAACAGTAGGATCAATGCTATATTCTAAAGTACCAATGGACTCCCAATTGATATATTTCACAACATGTTGTGCAGTAAGAGCATAAGAAATTTGTTGACCATTTGGAAATCTGAAAATAGCGCATCCACCTATCGAACCCAAATTCCAGCTCTTTTTTGTTTTTACAAGTGTTGGTATTTGTAGTTGGTCAGGACCTCCAAACTGATGTTTTCTTTCTTCATACTGTCGTCGAATCAATATCATCATTTTGATGCTATGAACACCAGAATGTGTAAATATTGATTTATCTTGAACTTCTCCAAAGCTCTGCACTCCTTCCTTTCTGCAAAATAAAATTGGCTTTTTTTATTTATTTTATTTAACAATGTCTAAAAATGAATTGATGCAGATTATCCATAAAACTGTCATATCTTTTTAATCCCTCGACATGTCCAATAGAAATGTTAAATATTAAGAAGTGCTGTACTTAAAAATTGCTAAACAATATTTTGGTGATAGTGCCTCTCATGAGCACTATACAAGCCCTGATGTTTGGTGCAACCACTGATTGGTGATTATTGAAAATAATTTACATCTGTTTCTAGTTTGTTCCTCTCTTTTACATGGGATGCCATTGCCAAATGTCAATTGATATGAGTAGATCATTTTTTATTTTTTAACTTAAAAACTGCTTATTTATAGACAAAATTGAGACAAAGGATACAATGACAATGTCAGTGGGTAGGAGCAGTCAATAGCTAGGAGCAGAATTTAAAATATAGTAATTGACCATGCTTGTTCATTTTGTCTGTGAATAAGCAGCTTTTAAGTTAAAAAATAAGTTGCATGAAAATCTTGAAATGTTTTTGTAAAAAATGATCTGCTCCTACCCATTGACCAAAGGCGATGACATCCCCTAATATTACACTTATTTTCTTCTAAAAGAAGATTGGATATCAAAATATATTCCATGAGATAACATCAGTATTGATATGCGCGTGCGTGATAAGTCACTAGGATTCTTTGATTCATGCTCATTATTCACTGGAAATACGATAGATATTTTTAAATGTTGAATTTTTTCTTGATATTTCTTTGCCCTCTATAATGTATCTGATTCCAACAACCGATTGGACCTCGGCATATCAATGACAAATCCCAAAATTTCAGTAATTTTGGTTTTTATAAGAAAACTATACTTACCTAATATGCTACTAATTGCCTTAATCCTACCATATAGCCTTTCTATGGTGAAACTTATACATGTATGTATTTCGTGACAACCCTGTCTCCATCACGAGTCTATGACCTCAATTTTGTCCATCCTAATTACTTACAAAAACCCATCTATGTAATAGGCGGGGTGGATGGGTGGGTCCTATGATTAGTAGCATATTAGGTAAGTATAGTTTTCTTATAAAAAACAAAATTACTGAAATTTTGGAATTTTATTATGTAAACTCTTACACTTACCGTAATATGCTACTAATTGCTGAATACACCATACTTGGTGGCGGGCCTCATAGATTAACTTCATAGACAAACATGTAAAATTATGGTTCTCAACCAATGGCTGACAAATCGCCTTTAATCTAAACAGATTTAGAAGTTACAGGGAAAGTTTAAAGCATAAAAAACAAATGCACACTTAGTGTTCCAACTCTAATTTATTTACACTACAGCCTTTCTATGGTGGATATAATTTATATCACAAGACATTAAATTTCAGTATTACCCGCAATAAAGTGTAAGTCACTGGAAGAGTCTTTTACTGTAATGTCTTTCAAATAAAACTTGATGAAAGTAGTAAGATTAGACCATCTTCCAGCCTTCAAAATGTCCACAGAACTAGTTTTCTTTGAGAAAGCTAGTGACGTTGCTAATGCTCTCAGTTGGTGAGCATGTACTCTAAACTTTACCGCTGAAGATTCTGGTACTGCCTGTAATGCTCGTACTACACACTGCTTGATCCATGATGATACAGTGTTTTTGTGAATGTCTATATTGTAACCTTTCTTATAAGACAAGAATAGGTTCTTTTGGTCTGATCTTAAATCCTTAGATCTTCTTAAGTAGACTTTCAAACTCCTGACTGGACACAAGAGACGTTCATCAGGATCATCAGGATTTTCAAGAGCTTTTATCTCGATATCTGACAACAGATTTGCATTCCCAGTCTTGAGAAAAGTCTTGGGAACAAAGTCAGCTCTATATCCTAGATAATAAATAGCTTTGCTCAAGTTATGTGAAACTTTATCTATAGCTAAAGCATGAATTTCACTTCTTCTTGCAGCAGACGCAAGTGAAACTAGGAACACAGTTTTCCAAGTTAAAAATTTTAAGTCTATCAATTCTATAGGCTCAAAAGGGGGTCTCATTAAACCTAGCAAAACTAGATTCAAATCCCAATTTGGCACAAGTTCTAAACATCTAGGCCTGTCTTGTTTGAAATTTTTCAGTAGATTTCCCAACAAAGGATGGGAGCCTATATCTACACCAGAAGCATCTTTGATTGTATTACTGATGGCTGTTCTATAGCCTGCAATAGTGCTAGGCTGGAGGCCCTTTTCTTCAAATAGCCAATTGAAGAATTCTGCCACCTGTTCTACAGGGGCATTGAGACTATCTTTTTGTCTTTCACTACACCACTTAGACCAAATATTCCATCTTGAATCATACACTCTTGATGAGGAGATTCTTTGTGGTCTAGCCATGCGTTGGGCAACTTTTTCAGAAAAGCCCTTTGCTTTGAGCTGCTTGTGGATAATCTCCACGCGTGAAGATTCAACATTGATACATTGTTGTGAAACACCATCATATGTGGTTGTTTCAGCAGAGATGGAATCAATAGCAGGAGCCTGGGTACATCTACTGATGTCTCCAGAAGACTTGTGAACCATGGCGGTTTCGGCCACCAAGGAGCAATCAGAATCATTTCCACATTCTCCTGCATTTTCAGTCTCTCCAAAACCTTTGTCAATATAGGAGTTGGAGGAAATGCGTAAATCCAGAGGTTCTTCCACTCTATGCTCAAGGCATCCACTTTCCAAGCTAGTGGATCGGGTGCTGGTGACACAAATAGATCAATTTTTGCATTGTGTCTTATGGCAAAGAGATCTACATGAGGTTGACCCCATATCTTGCATATGGTTTTGAAAACCTGATGTGATAGAGACCACTCTGTTTGAATGATTTGGTTCTTTCTCGACAGGGCGTCTGCTAACACAATCAGTCGGCCTGCGATGTGTCTTACCTGAATCCAATTTGGTCAACATTTCCAAACCCTGTAAAGAAAGAAGCAATTTCCGACATAATAAATTTTCTCCTGCAAAAACAAGCAATAGAGAGAGTTTGGAACATAAACTGAAGCCCAGTTCAACAATCTCTTTGTTATCTGGTAAAGCACGTACGAGTGGGTACCCCCTTGATTTCTTATGTATGAAATCCCTGTCACATTGTCTGATGCAATCATGACTGTCTGATTCACAAGTTCCGTTTTGAAAGCATAAAGAGCTTTCTTTATTGCCATCAATTCCTTCACATTTATGTGAAGAGTTTGTTCCTGACGTGTCCACACGCCTGAACGTTCTATCCCGTTCATGTGTGCTCCCCATGAAGTTTGGGAGCTGTCTGTAAAAAGACTGATTTGGTCTGCAAATCGAACTGAGTTTCTCTCATGTTCAAACGGCCCAAGGGAACACATTTCTCTGCTGCGGCCAAGAGTCCTAGCACTCTTTGCCACAAACGAGCAGTTTGTGCTGGTTTTGAGAGGAATAATTGAATTTCTTTTATCAACAAGCTTATTCGCTCTCTTGTAGGTTTGATCACACCTTTTGTTAGGTCAAACTTTGACCCCAAAAACACTAAAGTCTGAGTTGGTTCTAACTCTGACTTTTCTACGTTGATCAATAGAGCTAACTTTCTTATTAGATCTATCACCAGTTGAATATGGCTTTGACACAATTCTTTTGTGTCTGCTACTACGAGCCAATCGTCGATGTACTGAAAAATCTTCACATTGTGCTTCGTGTGAAGATATTGTTTTATCTGAGCCATCACTTGTGTGAATAATAGAGGTGCGATTGCCACCCCATATGGTAGAGTCTTCCATTGGAAAACTCCTAGATCTTGAATTGTAAACCTCAGATACTTTCGATGAGGGGCTGCAATTGGTAGGTGCAAGTACGCATCCACTAAATCCAGGGATGCAAACCACATTCCTTTTCTTAGATGCCTTTTCACTATCTCTGGTGTGTCCATTTTGAAATGTGGCACCTCCAGAAATGTGTTCAATATTGACAAATCGGTTATTGGCCTCCAATTTGCATTTTTCTTGGGCACTAAGAATACTCAACTGTAAAAGCCTACAGAGTTTATGTTCCAAACTCTCTCTATTGCTTGTTTTTGCAGGAGCAAATTTATTATGTCGGAAATTGCTTCTTTCTTTACAGGGTTTGGAAATGTTGACCAAATTGGAATTTGTGTTAGAACTGGGAACTCCCGAAAAGGAAGAAAATAACCTTCCTTCAGAATGTTGCAAACATTCTGTGAGCTCCTATTAATTCCCAATTTTGCCAATATTTCTGCAACCTTGCTCCTACTGGTTCCCCTGAACATCTTATTGGGAACTGTGGCAATTTTCCGACGTGGGGAGAGTCACTTAGGGGTACCACGACCCCGGCCTTTAGAGGACTTGGCAACTCCTCTTGAACTACCTCGGCCTCTATTTCCCCTGTTATAGCCTCTGTTACTTCCTCTTCCTCTACCTCGAAAGGAAGATTGACCTGATTCTTTATTATCTGAAAAACCAGGTTTGTCAGATTGACTCTTCTTTGGAGCTGTATAGTCCAAAATGCGAGTCTGAGCTAAGTCAGCTTTAGCAGTTCTGAGGCTATCTTTGACATCTGGCAATTTGTTCTGGAATAATTTTCCAGAACTGCTATCTAAAGACATCAATTCCTTAGTAATACTGAAGGGGATGTCCCTGTCTGCTCTCATCCCAATGTATGAGTGCCTCCTACAAGCTACTATTTGATTCAGGAGGTATGTAGTCAGGCGATAATTATCTTCAATACACCTGCCTGCTACTTTAACAAGTGTGAGCGCTTTTTCAAGCTTCTCTTTCCAGACATCTTCCTCCGAAGTGTTACCTTGTGCAAGTAACTCTTCAAAAAGAGGTTTCACTGTGCCTATGAACCACTCTGTATGGGATGTTGTTAGCAATTGCTCTCTTACAACTCCCTCCCAATCTGCCATTGTCTTGATGGCCAGAAAAGGTCGAGGGTTTATCTCGGACTTGGTTGTTTGACCTGTGTTACCCTGTTTTTGATTCTTGAATTTAGATGAGACTATCGTAGGAAAGTCAACATCTAATTCACAGGGTTTAACTCCAGCTTCTGAAGGTACAACTTGATATAATTTCTTATTAAGTTTAAACCGTTTGCTGTCAAAGCTGGGAAAATCCTTCAAGAATGCATTTGGAGGATAATCCTTGAAAAGATGAACACCTTCAGCCAGATTGTGTTTAACACCCGGACAAAGTGGCAATTCAAGTGATTTTGGCACAATGGGTGTTTTATCCCTGACTAAAGATTTGGATTTATATGCCGATTTTGGTGTAGATAACTCACCTATAAGATCTGGGAAGCAGTCCCTTACCATACTTACTGCCTGTGTCATTTCATCTGAAATGGACACTTCCACTGCTGGCTGTTCTTCTTCAATGTCTTCATTTAAAGAAAAAGTTTCTTCTAGTGAAGTAGTACGTGGTACAACAGGAGGAGATGAATACATGTGATCTCTGTTCAGTTGTCTCTCCTGTCTAGACATACCAGGAATAAAATCAGTACCACGTTCTTCAAAAGAATGGCCTCCATGAGGAATGTCCGATTGCCTCATAGTAGGAAGAGATTGTAGAAAACGCATAGGAAATTTACGCGATTCTTGCGAAAAAGTGTTTTTTCCGACTGAAAAAGCTGATTCACCAGCATTGTCAAACTTTTGATAAGGAAGTCCGCACGATGGGACTGAACGTGTGAAATCCTCACGCTGTTGATAATCAAAGTATGCCCTTTTTTGAACCTGGGGCATATGAGTTGACGTATCATTAGAACTATGATTATATATTCTTCGAGATTTGAATTTATCATATCTAGATCTATTTTCAGGGGAAGATGAAGGTGATCGAAAACGCCTTTTATGTTCCCTGTGATATCTGTCAGCACGATGTGACTTCTTATAACCCTTATGAGGTGAATATGACCGACGATGCCGGCCATGTCTCCTGTAGTTAGGACTAGACTCACTGTACTGGCTGTACACTGAGCTATCTGAAGAAGAAGTATCAGCACGACGTGATCTCTTCTTACTCTTCTTTGATACACGTGAACGATGGCGTTGTTCACGTCTATCTTCCTGACTTGAATCCCGACGGGATTTCTCACAAGAAGAATGACCAGCACGACGTGGTCTATTCTTGTTCAAATCAGGTGTATAAGATCGACGCCGTTGATCTCTGCTATGTTCAGAACTAGAGTCCCGACGAGATCTCTTAGATTTCTGAAACTTAGGTCTGGGTGAACTAGAAGTACTACTACCTGAGCTAGTATTACTTCTTTTCTTGTCAAAGGATACAGTTCTGTGTTTTTTCGCCGTATCTCGACTCTGAACATTTTTATCGACGTTCCGATTTTCACTGCTCAAATGTTCTTTATCTGTGTCTTCTCTATCAGATTTACGTTCGTTTTTAGAACTATCCGACATTTTTGCACAACGACGCACTATCAAAGTTACTCAATTCACTATACTAAAGCTAAATTAAACGATTTGTTTTCACATAGAAAAATTTTCCTGTTTACGAAAGAAAATGGTGGATAAAATTGAGGTCACAGACTCGTGACGGAGACAGGGTTGTCACGAAATACATACATGTATAAGTTTCACCATAGAAAGGCTATATGGTAGGATTAAGGCAATTAGTAGCATATTACGGTAAGTGTAAGAGTTTACATAATAAAATCAGTTTGATCAGAGCTTGGCATTCAGTCATTCACTATCAGTCATCTGAAAATCCAAAAATTAAATTTTTACAGCTCGTTTTTACATTACTGCTATCATTAAAGTTAAAACTAATCTACTGTCTGGTTATTTCTAGTGTAAACATGTCAAAATGAGGAGTTATTTGATTAAATAAGTTTTGTTTGGTGTCTTCAGCTATGCCTTTGGGCTGCTCATGCTGGTAGTTATTAGATTTTTGTAATGCTGAGTAAAATTTAAGGTCTGAACTTTTAAACTTTTAAAGGATTGGTATCGATATGGACAACTGAATTCAACAATATTTTTCTCTTAAACCGATCATTGAAAACATTCTGTAATAAAACACGGTATTTTATGTAATGTTGACTGATTGACATCAATTTAATGCGAAAATTATTTAGAAATATTTTATATAAATGTTTTTGTTAACATTTTTTGTTTTTTTAGTGCAATTGATTTTGCTCCTTTCTATCAATTCTTGAGATTGAAATAAAATGTCTTTCCGAACCTTGTTGGAACAAAATAGCATATACAACATGTTTTCGACCTCTCAATATTATAGTTATACAAAGGAATTTTTGGTTGATTTTAAAAAAGTATTCAAAAAATTAAAACAAAATCCCCCCAAAATAGATAAAAATCAAGATAAACCTTTTATTTCATTAAGAAGATACTTTTTTAAAATCAACCAAAATGTCATTTGTACAATTACCATATTGAGAGACCTAAATATGATGTGTTTATGTCATTTTGTTCCAATGAGGTTCGGAAAGATGTTTCATTTCACTCTGGAAACATGATACCAAGAACGAAACAAGTGTTTGATGTGTTTTCTAAAACAATATAGATGAAAGTATATATATATTCAGGCCCGTAAGACACTTTTCTCCAAGGGGGGTGCGGTTTTTAATAAAGAGAATATAAAATTGTCATTTCTTCCGCGTAAATCAAATCGCGTTAGTCAGAGGGGGGGGGGGCAGTTACTCTCTATATTAAGACCACTCAGCCTATTTTGTAGTATTTTATTGTTTTCATATTATTTTTAGACTAAATATTGTATGAGCAATATGGAGAAACATTGGAATAGGGAGGGTGTGCTAGAAGGCAATAGAATCAATTTAAAGAAATTCTGATTTTTTTATCATTTTCTTCTTAGTGGAGCGAATGGGCAGCACAGGACAATTTTACTAATTCAAGATGCTGTCTGGTTAATTCTGAGCATTTTTATTGTGTATTTTAAATGAATGCTTTAGTTTTTGGGATGCAGTGTCAGAATTATTTATGATTTCATTATGTCACTTGGTGATTTCTGGGCACTTTTAAAGTGTTTAAAATTAACAAATACAACTTCCAAACATTCCTAATTGTTTTGTGGGGGTGTGAGGAGTGCCCCCAGAAAATTTTACACTTTTGAGATGCTATTTGGTGCTTTCTGGGCACTTTCAAAGTGTGGGGGGTGTCAAAGAGGATAAAAGGGTGAGGTTGGGTGGGGATGCCAAAGGGGGAGCAAGAGGTTTTCCCTTAGAAACATTGACCATTTCAAGGTGCTATTTGATGATGTCTGGGCACTTTAAAAGTGACTCTTAGATAATACATGAAATTCATATTTTCTCAATTGTTTTGTGGGTGTGTGATGTGTGACCAACTCTCCTAGAAAATTTTACAATTTTAAAATGATATTTGGTGCTTTCTGGGCACTTTTAAAGTGTATGAGTCAATAAAAAATGAACAACAATAACAATTTTTTCAAATTTTGGGGGTGTCAAAGGGGGGGGGGTGTGCCAAAGGGGGAGGTAGGGTTGGGGTTCCAGAGGGGGGAAGCAAGTGTTTGTCCCCCATATCTGTCCTCAGAAACATTGACCATATAAAGGTGCTATTTGATGAAGTCTGGGCACCTAAAATGTGTCTGAGACAATACATGAAATAAATTCAGAATGTTGTCAATTGTTTTGTGGGGGATGTGAGGGGTGGCCTACTTCCTTAGAAAATTTTACAATTTAAGATGCTATTTGGTGCTTTCTGGGCACTTTTAAAGTGTATGAGCGTTAGTCCCCCAGAACCATTGACTATATCAAAGAGCTATTTGATGATGTCTGGGCACTTTAAAAGTGTCTGAGACAGAGGTCTAGATAAGCTGTCGCCATTCGCCAATTGTGAATATTTTTAGCACCTGGCGAAGATATTGATCTAAATATTCGCAAGGTTGGCGAATATCTTTGTACTGAACCTACCCGCGAAACAGATAAATCATCCAGTTATCGAGGAAATTCTCCCATTTCAACTTTCGTATTTTCGTAATTTCAGCCATGAGATGCCACAATTATTTTTGTTTCAATGGAGAATTAACACAGGGCAGCTTCATAAGATCTGTTGCGTTCGGTATTTTAATGAATCAGTTGAGACGCCACAACTTGTTTTTGGGTCAATGCAAATTTAACAGAAGCTCATATTTGCAAACCTGTTTCGTTCGTTTTTCTGTTGCATTCATGTCATGCTAAATTCAAAATTTTCTAAAGAGACTTCGAAGAATAATATGGTGATTTCTGGCGTATTAACCAATACCATAGCTTGTTATTTCTCACCCAGATAAAGAAAGATGTAAGGAATATGCTTACATTGATTAAAACATCACAATTACGTATTATATTCGAAAACCGGTGAGAATTCGGACAAACGAAGGTGGTAGACTAGCCTACATGTAAGCATTTCTTCTTGCACTTTCTGGGACCATTGAGGTCCAGGATTGGTCTTTCCGACCAGAGATTGGAAGGTGGGGCAGCCTTGGTTGACATGCAATAGTGTTAGCGGGACGATGACATGTGAAATTTGTTTGAAGTATGCTTTTTATGTCATTTGATAAAATATATTTTGGCAAATAATTTTTCAGAGTGGCTAATATTTTTTAGAAAATATAAGCCACATTGGCTAATAATTTTTTCAGCTTATCTAGACCCCTAGTCTGAGATAATACATAAAATAAATTCAGAACTTTTCAATTGTTTTGTGGGGGGTGTGAGGGCTGGCTTGCTCCCCCTAGAAAATTTTACAATTTTAAGATGCTATTTGGTGCTTTCTGGACACTTTCAAAGTGTATGAGTCAATAAAAAAAGAAGAAGAAAATCATAATCTTTTTCCAATTTTTTTTTTTTTTTTGGGGGGGGGGGGTGTCCTGGGGGGGGGGTGCCCGAGGGGGAAGTGGGATGAGGATGCTAGAGGGGAGCAAGTGTTAGTCCGCCAGAAACATTGACTATATCAAGGTGTTATTTGATGATATCTGGGCACTTTAAAAGTGTCTGAGACAATACATACAATAAATTCAGAACTTTTCAATTGTTTTGTGGGGTGTGGGGGTGGCCCACCCCCCATTGAAAATTTTACAATTTTTAGACGCTATTTGGTGCTTTCTGGGCACTTTCAAAGTGTATGAGTCAATGGAAAAAAAAATTTCCAAAAAAAAATTCCCCCAAATTTTTTTGGGGGGGTGTAAGAGGGGGGGGGTGCGGTCGCACCCATTGCACCCCCCATCTGACGGCCATGATATTTTTCAAATTATATTGTTACCATTCAAAAGATGACTATTAAATTGACGATGTGTTAAATTTTTAGATTTTTTTCATGACTGGTTTAAGAGAAACGTGTGTTCAAAAAGTTTTCCATATCGATACCACTCCTCTCATTTACAAATAAATCATTTTCCTTAATTTATTTTTCTCCGGTTGAAAGTCTAGGACTGGTTGAGATAGTTAACTTTAGTTTGTAAGTCAAAATAGTTAGTTTAGATAGTAGAATAAATAGATTGATATAAGACTCAATGGTACAATACTGTTTATAATTTGTGTCTTATTTTTATCCAAACGACAATACAACTCATGATTCTGTGAAATGAAGAACCCTTTTGAATCTCTTCTGAACACATTTATAATTGTAAATTTAAAATCTCAAGAAGAGTTGTAAGTGTTCAATGTTTGTCAGAATGTTTATGCGCTTTCTGTTATAGAGAAAGCATGAGTGACGCCTCACCGTTATTTTCAAAGAATCAACTCTCACGAATGTTTTCTCTAACTTAAAACCCATACACTGTCACCTATGCAAGCTAAACGGTAATCTTTAGTAACCTACATGCTCTAGTAATAGCCAATTTTCAATGAACTATAGTAATCGTAGTGAGTGCACTGACCCGTGATCATTTGGATGGGCAATGGTGATTAGTATTGGATTTGTATGTATTGCATGTATGTACGTGGTGTCAACGCTATCTTCAGTACAGCTAGTTTAACATTCGAGAAGAAGCATGGAATACGAAAGGATGGATACCTTGACTCAGGATACCTTCAAGGAATTGACAGATATCGACACGGATGAAGATCTTGAGAACTTTCTTGGGGAACTTATAGGAGGAGTAAATAAATATGAAATAGATAGAAATTGGCACATTTGATTTACGGTACAGTGTTGAAACATCCGACATATCAGAGCGTGAATATTCCTCTGATTCTAACACTAGATTTGGAAAACCTGTATCTGATATGGATATCGACAAGAAAAGCAGAAAAAGGTATGAATATAACTGTTTTCTTTGACTGTAGCTCGAAGAATCAAGAGTGCACATTCTGAAAGTAAAATTGCCAGATGGAATTTTATGCTAAATATGTATTCTTTGTTGTAGCTATGCAAGGTCAACTGAAAATAAAATCAACTGAAAATTGGCTATTACTAGAGCATGTAGATTACTAAAGATTACCATTTAGCTTGCATAAGTGACAGTGTATGGGTTTTAAGTAAGAGAAAACATATTTGCCCCTTTCAGCATACAGTTGATGGCGTAAAGTGTGGATTCTTTTTTTACGAATCCACAGTTGCAGGGTGTCCACTGTGATTCCCTTACGGAAATACATTGCTGCGGCAGCGCTGCTGCAGCACTGCCGCAGCGCTGCCGCAGCAAATTGGCTCCAAATGTTGGATGCAGGTAATTGCAGCCAATCGCTGCGGCAGCATGATGCTGCGGCAGCATCATATTTGCAGCGAATTGGCTCCGACAGCGCTGCAGTTCAAATATAGATTCAGAAGTTACTGACATACTTGAACATTCTGCATGTCTATTTTGTGAGAGATAAAATGTAAGTATTGCTGTGTTATTCCAGTTTAGATGGGCAAATCTCATTTTTTTATAAAGGCTAAATTTTAATTCTATTCATACAGTCAAAGTGGTCAAGCATAAATGTGTTGTGTATGAGGATTGTACCATGCAGTAAAAATATAAGGTATTTTATAAAGATTATGAAGATAAATACTGCTGGAGGCATAGAGGGTCCTTCAATAACTGGAGCCTTAATTCTGGCCTTAAGGACAATTCTGAATGGGTAAAATCACCAGTGATGTCCCATAATAATTGCTTATATCGTCTTACGTCCCGGGCCAACCTAAAATGAACAATTTGCGTGAGATTTCCAAAAATTATGGTACTTTAATGGGAGATTTTTCCAAAATCTGGTAGTTTTTAAAAAAATTGGTAGTTTTCGCCGTAGATTTTTAAAAATCGGGAGTTTTTGAGGTAAATTTTAAAACAACTGAAGTTTTTACGGTAGATTTGAAATAAAACAGTACTTTTTAAAAAAAGCAGATTATCTCCAATTTTTTTCTAATAAAAGCAATACTTTTTGTGGTAAATTCTGCAAAAAGTGGTTCTTTTATTGGAGATTTTTGACAAAATCTGTAGTTTTTGCAAGAGAATTTTGAAAAAACTTTGGACTTTACCTTAATTAGTACGCTTTGCATGGCCAGATTTGAATATTCACGGGAATAACATATACTTCGAATTTGTGTGTCCCTACCCAATTTTGCATATTATTTGATGTTTTGGGTTCGTATAGTAGAAAATGAATTTTGTAGACTATAATGCATAATGGGTAAGAGTAATGCAAGAAAAAGGTTTTAAATATAGCTAATAAATAGGTAATACTCTGATAATTCTCATCTAACACTACCTTGTTGTTACAATGTAATTTTCATTTTATAATCAGTCAATATTCTACATGAGCGTTGAATGGTAACAATACCTTATTATGAACACCTATGTATTTATTAACGTAATTCTCACTAATTTGCGTGATAATTTTTTTAGTTGTTTGTTAGCTAAGAATTAATAGAGTATACCTATTCATTGTCAATATTTTCCCATTGATTTATTTCACTTGGGCCCTCAAAAACAATAAAATGCCCCAAAGCATCTCGAAACTGAACAAATATTACGCTAATAAAATAAGGGGTCGGGAAAGGGCTAAAACCATGAGACTCAAGTCAAACAAGAGGAAATCTATGAAAATTCAATATTAAGATTTAAGAAATCCAAAAATTGTGCATTGCTTTCTTGTTAACTCATATAGGCAATCAAGTCGTAAACAAGGTAGAAAGTGTGTGTGTGAAAAATGTACAAATAACTCTGAGTCTGATTACCAGCATGTTTCTGACAATGTTTGTTCAGTTAGGCAAACTGGGGGATATAACCCAACAAAATCACAGCCATGCAACTATAATGTAAGAGATAGGCATCCATCATATTGGGTGAGATGTTTTCAATCCCCCTCCCCCTAAAATACCTCAGGCCAATGGTAGCCTTCTCTGCAATTGCTGCGGTTAACCGCAGCTCAAGTCCCAGAGTGAAATGGCTCCGACAGTGCTGCGGTTAACTGCAGCCCTCTCGCAGCATACTGCGGCAGCGCTGCGGCAGCGCTGCGGCAGCGCTGCGGCAGCGCTGCGGCAGCCTAAATTGCATGCTGCGGGAGCGCTGCGGCAGCCTAATTTGCATGCTGCGGGAGCGCTGCGGCAGCAGGCTGCAGGAGCAGGCTGCGGCAGCGCTGCAGCAGCCTAATTTGCATGATAAATTCCAATGTGCTGCCGCAGCGCTGCCGGAGCGCAGGCTGCCGGAGCGCTGCGGCAGCAGGCTGCGGGAGCCAGTAAATTTCCGTACAATCCTCGCAGACCCCCTGTAGCTGTAGATTCGTGAAAAATAATCAACTGTTTGGTCTATTGTGTAGTACCTTCAGCGGGTTTTAAAATTGTGATAAAAATAATTCAAGCAAGTTTACTATTTATCACATTATTTTATGTGGTTCTTCAAATGATATGACTTGAATATATATCTCTCGTTAGATTATGGTTTGGGATTATTGTGGTTTGTTTTCCTTGTAACTGGTATACACTATGATTGTTTCTTTTTCTTGCTGTGTTCTGTAACAATTTTTGGTACTTATGCTTCATTTAAATTCAATATTTATTTACCTTAATGAAAGCTTTTTCTCATTTTTGTTTAGTTTACTTCTCCCTTTTGAATTTTCATCTACGTAAGTAAGACAGTCCTCCGTTTTATCCCTGTCAGCTGCAACCTTCCTAACTTTGGCTGGAAATGGAAAATGTAATTCTTATTCAGTTATAATGTGTATTATAACATACATTGTACCTGACTTTATTTTTTATTCTGATATATGCTTTTTATGTATGGTCAAAATATGAGCATGTATGAGTGTATTTATGCAAGTTGTACAGTATAAAACAATTATTCAATATAAGTTATTTGGAATACGAATATACTTGTACAAGTCAGGTATAGCATTGGAGAGGAACTCTGGGAAATGAAGATAGGATGCTTTCATCCTTCAAAGCATAACAAAATGTTCGGCAAGTATGTAGTTCGGGAGTTCTGCCTTCAAAATATGATTATAACTGCCATGGCTGGGATATTCACATATCAATAACGCAGATGCGAGCAGGTAGTTACCAGTTTCGCCACCAGGTGGCTCGTTCGGGTCAGATAACATGGCGGGTATAGTAGAAAGTTCCCTTTAACTTAAATTACACCTGTTTTAGTGGTTCAATTTCTATATAACCCTTATGTATCTAATAGTTATGTTAATTAAAATATGTCCAGTAAAAGATAATGTTATCTGTCCAATAATAGAAAAGCTATTTGACTTTTTGTGATTATGTAACATGGGGTCTATGAGGAATCAACCCGAACTAGAAGTCACATTTTCAAAAAAAGATTAAATTTTCAAACTTGATAAACAATTTTTGAAATCATGTATCTAGATGTACTTCTACATGTAGATTTCAAATATGACATCACTTTGACTGAATTTCGAATATTTAATGACGTAAATCAAGATTATTTCTATTCGCATCTAGTCTATTCCCTCGATAAGAAACGAGGAAAATTTTACTAAGGAAATGTACTTTCCTGAAATGTACTTTCCTGGTTTCTTTGAGAAACCCGACCTCCCCAGTGGTTCTTATTAGCTCACGTGGTGAGCTTTTGTAATCACCTGTCAGTCTGTCTGTCCATCCCTCTGTCTGTCAACAATTGGCCCATTTTAAAACCTCTATCAATAGGATCCCCGTTTTAAGTTATTTTTGTTCAACATCAATACAGAAAAACCCCCTATGACTCCTGGTTCAAAAGCTCGCCTATTTTCAAAATGGCCACCATTCTTGTCTTGCAAAATTTACTTTTGGACCATTTGGTAGCTTTACAAATAATTTTAGGTATCCTGCAGTGTAAAAAGCCATGTCACTGTAAAGAGTAGTTGCGTGAAATAATTTTGTTACAAAAAATTACCCCAAAATTATATCCATTTTTTTTTCATTTCCAGCCATTTTTTGTTATCATTGATTTGTTCATCTGTTTCTCAGTCAGTCCACAATAATGGCATGTTTTAAAACCTCTGTCGATAGAATTCCCGTTTTAAGTTATTTTTGTTCAACATCAATACAGAAAACCCCTCTATGACTCCTGGTTCAAAAGCTCGCCTATTTTCAAAATGGCCACCATTTTTGTCTTGCAAAATTATTTATTACTTCATTTAAAAGTTGAAATTTTAGTATAAGTTCAGCTTAAAACTTCTATTAAAAGCTCTCTACTAATAGATTATACTTCATTGCAGAGGCACAGATTCCCAAATTTCTTTACTAGCCATCCGGTGCGGTGGCTTGTAATGGAAAATACTTGGAAGCCAGCAGAAAAGTAAGGCGCCAACATTGTGGCTTGTAACCTCAATAGTTACAAGCCAAGAAAAAACGAATTAAATCCCCCATTGCCTCTTTATTAAGAGTTTTCTACTAAGGCCCCGGGAACATGTATAAAATAGCGAGTACAGATGCATTTCTGGGCTACAGCTATCAGTTTTTCTGTGTTGACAAACGTGACTGCATAAATATACTATGATTACTTCACTGAAACCGCTACTCACGCCTGGAAAGACTCTTCATCGGCTCGGAGTCAGAGACCAGAACTTATTTCAATCGATTCGTTTTTTGGAAAAAAAAATCTTTTCAAATATAAATGTCCATTATCGGCTTTCAAAAGCTCAGAGAGCTCATAATCATAGCCTATATTCTTGAAAACTTCAATCTGGTCTGATCTGATCACATTTCTATTCATTAAGAAGATATGATCAGCTAAAAACGATCAAAACTAGAGAAAAGTAAATATTTTTCCCAAATCCATGTTTTGATGTTTTGGTCACGTGACCACACGTGAAAGGTCAGAGGGAATGAAGCTGATTGGTCAAAGAATTCATGATGAACTTTAAAACGGCGGTAAATTCAAATTCAAAACTTATCTGCACAATGATTGGTCAAATAATTCACATTGCCGAAAATTAGACCAATCAAAACGCGAGACACAAAAAGGAGACAAAATATTAAAACTACAAGATAAGGAATAGTTCCCAGAATACTTTGCGCATCAATCGGCCTATCAACCATCTCAATTACTAGTACTACTAATACTAGTTGACAGATTTTCTTCATATTTGGTGGAAAGATGTATATTGATAAATAGTTTCCATACAAAAAAATTCTTCAAGATGGCTGCCGCTTTAAAAATGGCAGGGATTTTTTGAAAAATCTTATGTTTTTCATTATGAACAAAAATGATAAATATTATTTGAAATTTTGGTAGTATATTCACAACATCTATCTATTTCTCATATATCCCATGTTTTCACCCTGACCCCCTAGGGCTGTGAATAAGGGTTGAGAAATCAGGAATTTGCTTTAATTTTGAGATTTGTTTTGAAGTGTAGCTTTGTTATACTCAAATGAAAGGCAATTTAGAGGAGATAGCAAATATGGTATTGTTTTTCTGATTCAGCCCTTGTAAAATTCAAAATGGCCACTTCATGTTGGATTTCGCAATTATTTTCTGATCTCTTAAAAGTATGGCTATATTATACTCAAATTGAAGGAATTTCAGAGCAGATCACAATTATGTTATTGTTTTTCTGATTTGTGCCTCAGAAAATTCAAAATGGCTGCCTAGAGCAGGAATTCACTATTACTTAAGAGTTATCTTTAAAGTATGCTTTGAAAACCAAGTTAAATTTCCTGTTCAAGAACCTCTAATCTAACCAATTAGGATTGAGTTAACATATTTTTACCGATCAAGGCATAATCAACATATATTCTGAGAAAATGATGATTTCAGCTAGGGTGTATTGACTGCTTCCTGGTCAAGCCAACCCCAAGTCAACTCAACCCAAGTCAAGTCAACCCTTAGTCAAGTCGACCCCAAGTCAAGTTGACCAAAAACGATCAAAACTAGAGAAAAGTAAATATTTTTCCCAAATCCATGTTTTGATGTTTTGGTCACGTGACCACACGTGAAAGGTCAGAGGGAATGAAGCTGATTGGTCAAAGAATTCATGATGAACTTTAAAACGGCGGTAAATTCAAATTCAAAACTTATCTGCACAATGATTGGTCAAATAATTCACATTGCCGAAAATTAGACCAATCAAAACGCGAGACACAAAAAGGAGACAAAATATTAAAACTACAAGATAAGGAATAGTTCCCAGAATACTTTGCGCGTCAATCGGGCCTATCAACGATCTCAATTACATTCTTACCACTAAATTGATGCTGGGAAAGCACACTTTCGAAAAAATTGTAAATATCGATCAGCTGATTTAGCAAAAGCAGCATTAAATTCATGTGGAATCTTCATCTTTTCACCAATTTTCACGATTGAAATGACAGGATAACAAGTATATTATAGTGGGAACTCTTGTACGCCAGGAATACGTGTAAATTTGATTTGTTTGGCGCCCGGGGCCAAAGTTAGGCGCATCTGGCGTCCTGGCGTGTGGGAATCTGTGGCTCTGCTTCATTGTTGATTTTAGTATTTTACCCAAAAGTGATTGCAATTGCTGTGATTGCAAGCCAGTGCATTTACCAAGTAACTATAAATAGCAAATAAATAGCAAATGATATTGTAAAATGTTTTGGAAAATTACTCTCATGTCATCCCTAGTCTTTAAACTATTTTCTCCCTTTCATACAATATTGAAAAGACCACTGAATGTGTCCCTCAGTGCTCTAGGTTAAATTGTGAAATATACAACATACCAATATAGATCTTAAAAAATGGTGGGAAATTTGAATATTTGAGATATAAAAGCTGACAACTTGTCAAAGCTGAAAACTTGTTTTTTCAAAAATCTTTAAAATAACTTTCAAAGTCATGAAAAAGAGTAAGTGAATGATAAAAACATATTTTCAAACTTTGCATGAGGCCTTTAAGGAATAAAATGCCAAATAAAGATACTGTTTTTAATAGGCAACAATCTCATTTATTCATTGTTTCAATTCAATTTTATTTGATGCATCTTCATGAAACATAGATTAAAATGCAAGTGATTGAAAAAGCACTTACTTTGTTCACACAACTTAGCAAGGTCATTCCTCCCTACGTGTTTATTTCTTAATGCAACAGTGAGTTGCTTCTTGGTGTCCTCACTGTCTCCTTCTTGCCTTTTTGACCAAGCCAGCAACATGCTATAGCCCCAGTTCTGGGCAGAGTGTGGATTACTGGCTATTATATTGTCCAGTTCTGAGTGATCTATTTCAAGATTGACTCTTAGTGCTGTCAAGTCATTTCCAAGGTACCTGCCTACTTGATATAGTAGACCATCAAGAGGATCTACAAAAAGGGGGAACAATTGAATAGAAATGTTACTTCAAGGTTTTATTTTCAGGATTTTGTTACATTCATGCACTCACTATTTATTATTACTCACTTATTATTATATTGGATTTTGAAATTTAATAAACTTCAATTTGAAATCAAATATTGCTGTTAACATCGAAATTCATCCTATATATGGTAAGAAATCATTAGAATACAGTAAAAAGACATATACAGTGCATAAGGGACTGTGTGTAAAGTGGTAATATGCCACCATTATGAATTAATAAGTCATTAAACATCATCAATTAATCAATAATCTCTGATGTTATTTTCACAAAGTCTCTTCAAGTTCGGGGCTCAAACTGTGACAATATTTTGTATTTATCAGCTTATTAAAGAAGTATTACACTATTAAAATTATTTTAATTTCGTCTGGAATGAATGAATATGTTTAAATAAAGCGAGTTGGTTTGTCGGAATATGTTATGGGGCATATTTTACCTTCTTTCTTGGGTTACAATATGGCGACCAACGTCGATATGACGTCACACTTCCGGTGACCTTGATGCAAAATGGCTATCTCCATCAACTATGTCAGTGGGTCAATTGATATTATTCTTTTCCATATAATCACTTAACCTAATATATTTTTTAAAAAGTTTTATTATTGCCTCAATTACACATAAAGGTACATTGTAACCACCAATTTATATCCTTACGGAATTTAGGCTAGGCAAATGGAAGTTTAACATCCCAAAAATTGCAACAGTTTTTAAATTAGGCTTATATTGTATATTGATACGAGTTGAAAAACATATCAAAAATATAGAAAAATATATGCAGTGGACAAATATGAAATGTTACATTCTAGGTACCCCCCTCCAAATTTGAGTATGGGATTGTAAATATTTTTATATTTCAAAATGGAATGCTTTTATCAACTAAACGAGTAATATTATGATAGTTTACTGACATAAGACCAATTAAAAATTGTTAACCAACTATTTGAGTGCAATAATTGGCATTTCTAGCCCCAAATATCTGAAAATAGGCCATCAAATAGCCTGAATTTAATATAACAATGTATTTATTTCTGTATCAATTCATCAGAATTGCATGAAAAAAATCAAAGAGTTTATTGTATACCTGACCATTGTATTTGATAAGTATCAGGGTCATTAAGTGAATATTGAGGGTGAAAATAATATTTGAAATTTCAGTATTTTACCACACCCACTTTTGGGGTGACCTTACTTTTGTTTAATCACTTCCAAGATATGTCATATTTGAACTCATCAGCACAACTAAATTATTTGTAAAGGCTTATTTTGTCATGAAAACAGTTTTTTGATGTTTTCAGGAAAGGATTATGTAAAAAAAAAGTAGAAATAACAGCAAATGCCAGGTGAAATATAGGGAAAGCCCTACTTTTAGTTGATAACTGCTAAATTATCAAATGTTTTTTCCTTTTAAATTCAATTTGATATATAATATACCTTTTCTGGTAAAACAGAGAACTATTTGTTAGAAATTAAGTACAATCAGTGGTCTAAAAATATCCTTGAAAAGGCAACAAAATGTTAAATATCCCTGTCCCTGACATCAGTTTATTAATATGACCCAAAAAAGGTAACCCAACCAAATGTTTGTTAATAACCCAGTCATTCAGCATGGGTTTGACATCATATTTGGCAAAATTACCTTGTCCAATGTTCTTTCATTCTTTTTAGTGTCATTGATCTATCCTTAATAGTCACAATTTTATGGCCATTTCCAAAATGTGCTCAAAATATCGAAATGTGCCTAACTGACTGGACATCAATACCACCAGTTTTTTTTATCTGTAGACCTTTTTCTATACTGACAACACTTGAAACATAAAAACAAGAGATACGAATGAAGATGAGAGCCATAACACAAGCTTTTTATGCTCCTGATTTGTACAACTATGTACGCACAATACGTTCAAGTTGGCCTCCAGGCATGACACCCATATTTCATGGCATGGTATAAAATGGCCATAAAATCGTGAGCACTAGAGATAGACCACTGAGACTGGGTAGATCGATAATACATTGACCAAGACTCAATTCTGCCAAATGACACTAAATCCATGCAGGATGACTGGACTGGGTTATTAAGATTTGTTTGGGTTACCTCAGTCTTTGGCTCGCCCTGTATTAAAAAAAATTGTTACTTTTGACTAAGGTGTTCTTAACCACATAGAAATGAAGAAGTTCAACTGAAGAATGTTGGATTTCAAAAATGAAATTCAATAAAAATGAGGAAAAGGTTTCTACGTTAATAAATCCTACTGAGTTAACTAGTGTAACGCAAAGTAAATCCCTGGTCTTTATACAGGGCATGGTTCGCTTATGTTATGTTCATTATCAAAAATGCTGCCTTAATTTTGTAATCTTAACCTTCATATACAGGGTGTCCGGAAAGTAAAGATACAAATGCTCTCATTTTAAGAGATTTACATGTTATGAGATGAAATTGCTCCAGAATGTATAATGACATTATAGCAATATATCCTGCTACGGTCATGGCTTTTAGTGTTAATATGAAAAAGTTATGGTCGTTATGGTAACGGGAGTCAAGGGTATGTGGAGCAACGTCACAAATGTGTTTTACAAATCTCTTTCCTGCTCATAGCATCTTGGCATTCTTCCATTTATTCCTACATCAAATTATGTACTACAACAGCATAAGGATTAGTACCGTAACATTATTTGATCTCTTAATATAACTACTATCATTGAATATTCAATATTTTCCCCATTATCTAAATATTTTTGGTGCATCTTGACCGCAGATTCAAAGACTTGACAAAATCATTGCTGTCCGTCTCTCAAATTGCTTATAGCATTGACTTCCAGCTGAGACTCATTTTGTATGTTGTACTTCTTACAAATATTGCTTTCAGATGGTCATAAGGTAAAAGTCAAAAAGGCTCTATCAGGTGAATATGGGGCATTGTATAGAAAGGTTTAATGTCAAGACAATCCATTGTAAGAATTGTTTTCTTTGCTTTGAGAATGGGTGTATTATGGAGATGCAATATTGACTTTCCAACTAAATCCAGAGGCTGTACTTTCTAAACGCTTGTATGATATTTCTTTGATTATACTGGTTAGTGAAATAAAATAGTTCTGATTAACAATGACATCATTATATAAAAGAAAAAACTATGGCAGTAATAATACAAACAACAAACAAAAATTAGCAAAACATTGATAGAAAATACGACAAAAAGCGCTGTTTCAGATTATTGTATTTTACCAATTTTTCACATTTTAGCTATGTTCTGGAACTGCTCCACATACCTCTCACAGCCGTAACCATAACAACCATAACTTGAACACGTTAAGACTATATGTGATGAAAGTTGGTTGATATATTGTAATAATCTTCCTCTACAAACTGTAGCAGTTTCATTTCAAAAGACCCAAATCTCTTAAAACAAGAGCATTTGTATCTTTACTTTCCGGACACCCTGTATGTGTGTGCAAAATGTGAGAGCAAAATTTTGGGCCCCTAAAACCCTAAAGTGGGCCCAAATTTTGAAATATCCAGGCCCATTTACTTCAAAATTTAGCCTGAAATTAAAAAATAAGGCTTTAAAAGGCCCACTTATGACCAAAAAGGTCTTTTTTTGGGCCCAATTTTTTTTCTGGGCCCACCCAAGGGGCCCCCTTACATGCCATAGGACAGTTATTCCATTTTTCTGCAAGTACATCTCATAGAAGTACAATCTGCCTTACACACACAATGGATGATCTCTGAGAGAGGGGAGCTGCATTTAGGCAATTTGTACAAAAGTTTCGTTGCTTATTTCCCAGCCCAATTATAACGGAGGCAGTTTATTTCCCTCCCACTCCTGGATCTGATGGTACACTCTATAACTGTGGTATTCCGCAGCATCAGAAGTTGGAGGAAGAACACGGGGCTGCAATAATTCAGATCTTGCTGCTCTCTTTTAATAGAATTTTTGAAGCCTAAGTTCATTTAGGGTTTCACCATTTTTCCACCATAAATTGACAAAAGAGCATGTTCCTCTGCAATGACAGAGTTGCTTGCATTTCACTGATTACGTTGTAACAAAATGTCGGAACATCGAAGGTATGATTTTTCTTTTTTCCTTATTTCACACATTGTAGGCAGAATTCCCACAACATTGTTATCACAAACATGTATCAGTATCATATGATTAAAAAATGTACATATTTGCGGACAAATAGTTCAGAAGACAACAGAATCGTTGATTTAATTCCTCACTTAAGTTACATAAACTGTATTTCCATAAACAGTTAAGATCTGCACTTTAACCCAAACCGTTTATGTAACTTAAGGAAGTTCATTTTAAGTAAGGAATTAAATCAACAATTATGTTGTTTTCTGAGCTATTTTTGCGTAAACATGTGCATTTTCTAAAACATATGATACTGATACACGATTGTGAGAAAAAACATTGTGGGGATTCTGCCTACACCGCGTGAAAAAAGGAAAAAAGAAAAATAGTACCTTCGACGTTTAGATATTTTGTTTTCTCAAGAACTCACTCTTTTTCATCTGCCTCAATGATAGCTTCTTGTCTATGCCATTTAACCTGAATGCGGTGTACACCCCAGAAAAGATAAACAAAATATCGTCACAGACCACTTTTCCAAAAGACAATCTTATTTCATTTATATTCCAACATTTTGTTTCTTGGGTTGCTGCTTTTGGTTCAGGTTTGAAGAAACTGTTGAAGTTTGTGTTTTGTGCATGATAAATGAGAAGCACAAGGATATCTGTATGAGTACTGTATTTTAGGTTTGGACACTTTGGATTGCAGTTTTCACAATCACAATATCTGAATCCAATTCTGAATGTAGCACATGTACACTCAATGTTTTCCAACCTGACAGACAGAATTACCATCATTCCTGCACACTGAAATTATATTAATGAAAGACTACCCAGATATCTGAGATTTAAATGTGCTCTATCAGTTTAAATTCCATTTAATAACCATAAATTCGTTTCTACAGCATTATACATCCAATTGATAGTTCCATAGTAATGTACTCTTATGTAATGATTTATTTATCTGATGAATTTAAATATATAAAAATTTTGTAATTGCGGATTGTAATTAATAATTTAAACAATATTAAATTCCACAGAAACTACAACTTACATTATTTAGATAAGCCTAGTATAGAGCAGTTATCAAATACCCTAAGGTCACCTTAACATTTCACCTGGTGCAACTCCTATTTTTCATACTAATAAGGTATAAACCTTCACAAAACTTGTATTTTAGATGATGACAAGCCTATATAAATGATTTAGATGTCAACTCTAATACAAATGTGATGCATTGTAAGAGTTAGTGATCAAAACTATAGTCCCCCCTATAGTGGGCGTGGCAAAACTATGAAAAAGAAATATTTTTTTTCTTCCTAAGTATACAGGTTAGAATTTTGACACTCACCAAATATGAAGTTCATATAAATATGTACCACCATGAATTTTTTCATGCTTTTCTGACAAACTGATCCTAAAATATCTAAATCCATATGTGATAACATGCCTGTTTTGTAGCCTATTTTGTTATACTTTGGGGTCAAATGACCAATTACTGGTCTCAAAAATGATTAAAATAATATTTTAATTATTTGTGAATATGTGATCTATCATAATAAAGCTTGAATACTTGACTAAAGTATTCCATTTGGGAAGAAAAAATTGTTTCCTACCAATACTCAATTTTGGGGTAGGGTTGTAGGGGGTACATAGGAAGTGAAATTTCATATTTGTCCACTGCATACATTTTTCTATATTTTTGATATGTTTTTCAACTGATATTAATACATAATATAAGACTAATTTAAAAACTGTTGCAATTTTTGGGATGTTTGGGCCTTTTATGAGCCCATTTGCTTGGCCTAATTCCCTGTTGAGTTTGAATTGTGGTGCTGTTTTTTCAACAAACGTAATTGGTCCAAAAGTATGTTGATAAAGACTTTTCTTGCTCTGACGCATTTGGACACAAATTGTAATTTGCCTTTCAGGCTTTGCAATTCTTGTTTCATAGCACTTACCCGATTTTTCTATTCTATTAATAGATTCTTAATTTCTACTAACCTTTCAGGAGTGACACTCATGGTAAATGTTTCTGATCGATTCCCAGGAATTGCATACCGGTACTAGGTAGGCAGAATTTATCTAGATTTTCTACCAATCCAGCATTATGCAGTTTTTCTCGAAGTTTATTCCTATCCGAGTCAGCTGTTTTGTGAGTTGTCACTACTCCGAAATCATCGAGATAGTTACATACCTTGTTACCTGCCTTCTCATATATGTACCTGATTGCGTTGGCTATTCTTTGACACATCATGGCTGAGGATCGGAGACAAAATGGGGCAACCATATCGAAATATAACCTTACCTTTCCACGGGAGACACACCTTGTCTATGTCCCTTGGGTCATGTTTTATCTGTCTATATGCTCGACTCAAGTCTATCTTGAACATTACACATTTTTGGAGATTTTATTATCCCATAACTCACCCTCGAAATGTATTGGCCAACCGTATGCGATAAATTGACAGATGAACTTGTCTTCGTAATTTTTGAGTTTCTCATACCAATATGTGATGACCGATTCCAGGTTGATTTTGATTTTAGCTTTTTCAAAATTATAACATCCAGATTTTGACACAATGTCATGTATTTCGATAATTGAGATGTGGTTCTGCGATAATTTAGGAGGAACCCATTGTTGTTCAGAAACTGTATCAGGTTTTGAACCGATAAGTTTTGATTTTGAACCTGCAATAGGTTTTGAATCCGTAATAGATTTTGATCCTGTGATAGGAGCACTATTGTTGATATATCTGTTATCAGATTTTGAACAGACAATTTTGGACATTGAACCTGTGAGAGATTCCAAATCTTCGATACAATTTGATTCTGTGATAGAAGTACTTTTATCCTCTTTGGAACTATTAATTTTAGATTTTTGACCGGTGATAGGCTCCGAATTTGTGATAGATTTTGATCCTGTGATTGGATTACTCATGACGATGTGTGTAGCATAATTTTTAGGACCGGTAAGTTTAGATTAGTACCTGTGATAGATTCTGAATCTGTGATAGTTTTATATCCCGTGATGGAATTATTATTGAACCCGCAGCTGAGTTCTGTAATATTTTCAACATTTGTAACGGTGTTGGGTTTTAATCCTGTGATACGATTATTGTTGATGTTCAGATCTAGTTGATCACTATCTAGTCACGTGGAATAACATTTGACCTTTGGGTGTTTACAAATTTTCTCGTTCGTATTACAGCAAACCGAACAAATATGCTCAAGAACTCTTATCTGCCCACGAATAAGATTATTGGATTCGTGTGCATTCTTTTGCGTGCAATTTCCATTATTGTAATCAATACAGTACCATGTCAAATTGGACTGGGTATTGGTAGGTTTGGGGTTATTAGGGTTTTGTGGGATATGAATTTTCAAATCACTGGTTTCGTCTCCCCATTCCATATCACCGGTTTCGATTTCAATTATTACACTAGCATGATACGATCTAACATTGGCCCATGAGCAACCTCTTTTTTGAATGCACATGAGATCTATAAGATGTTTCAATTGAATTATGAGAACATTTTTGGTTATACATTGTATTCTTCTTTTTGATACCTTTGATTAAGAGGTTGACAAATCCTGCGACAAATAATACCATGTCTAAATTTTTATATCTGATGCCTTAATTGTCTTGCGAATTCATATTGTAGAGACACGTGTGGGTACTTTTGAGGATTGATACACTGTCGAGATACAGACTCATTTACCCCAGATTTTTTGTGCTTCCTGTAACGTTTCTTATGATGACGTTTTGATTTGTTCAAGTGACTTCGACTGGACTCAGTCGTCGATTCATTAGAATCTGATGTTGAACTACTTGCACTTTCAGAGGAACAGGAAGCACTGGAATCACAAGATAAATAAGAATTTTTACCTCTCCTAGATGTTTTGTTTGTGGATCTGCTATGTTTCTGCAGACTTCTCTCGTTGGTGCTGTTATGTTGTGGTTCAGGTTCTTTAGTCTTTGTTTGCATCTTGGTTCTGGATGAATTGTCTCTAGTTTGTCTGGGTTTTTTGATAGGAATTTTTGGCTTTGCTCCCATGTCTGGTTGTGATGATTTCTGTGACCCGGCAGGGGTGTGTGTGTAGGTTTCGAATTCGGACAAGGTTTGATCAAGAGCTTGCCTTTTCATTTGTAACTTAGTTAACAGTTCTTGTTCTTTTCGAGCAATTTTTTCTTTTTCATGCTCTATTTGTCGTCCAGTACTTTGCTCATCTGATACGATATAGTCTCTGAACCTCTCAGGACGTTTTGTGTCTCTCGTGGATTTTCGGAGTCGCACATCTGGTTCAGATGTTTCCATTATGGGTGTGAATTAAAACCGATTTAAAACTGATTCAAACCTGAAAGAAGATGTGACTAGTATAGTTCGAAATGACTTGAGAGTGGATGTGAATAAGTAAATGTCTTGGTAGTTCAAAATTAAAGTAAAAGGTGAACGGTTATAAATATAGAACACTCAGCCTTGCAGACTATCTTATAAAAGTACTAAACAAGTGAAATAACATTATTGCTTTATGCTTGAGCGAGGTATTTTGATATAATAAAATTTTTGATAAAAATGGTGGCCTTTCTTATATGTTATTTTACGATATTTGCTATACATTTTGCTTGTAAAAATGCCAGCCTTGGCTGTTTGGTGGGATTTGCTACGCTTTGGCGTTGCTGTTGTCTTCATGCAAAAGACAATTGTTAATGTCAAAAGAACATGTAAAATGTTATGAAACATGGTGTTTGGGTAATGAACTCGCATAGGAAGTGCACTTACAGTCGAACTTCACATATTTTTAAAATGATCATCTAGGGGGTAATTATTTTCATTATGGGGGGGGGGGGGGGGGTGGGGGTAAAGGACTATTTAATTAGGTGACACCTGATTTTAAGTTTCTTGGGGTTTTGTCTTCTGCAATTTCTGGTTTGACAGCCATGATATGAGCATTAACCTTTAGCATGCTACCGGTGAACGGAGTCACCCATCGACCCAGTTTAAACTTTTAAAAACTTTACTTTTTGGCACCGTTCTTATTATCCAATTTTTTACACATGTTGCATGGTGAGAAGTTCAAGAGCTGATTAACTTTTCAGTGGCCATCTTGCTTTCTGGGTCAACAAGTCCACAATGCTATGATTTGCAGAAAAAGAAATGAACATTGGTTCAAGGTTGATGAATATGACTGAACATGCAACATGTATTGTAAAAGTGTGAACGCAATAACCTGCTTTTTCTTTGTTCTGTTTTAGTTTCATTTTCCCAAAATGTTATATTCTCTTTACCAAGATCACCATGATCCAATTAAATTTTGTTAAATCATTACATCAATATCTCACTTACCTGTACCAACAGCTAAACTGACCAAAACAATCAATGAAATGACTTTTTCCCACATTTTATTCTAAGTTTGCTGCTTATCCGCCATCTTGATGAATTGCAAATTGAAGCTAAAGGAGTGAATAAATAACAAAATTTTTCTCATAACATAAAAGTTTTTTCATGTTTAAATAACAATTTAACAACTCCTACATACTTATACTATTTGAATTAGAGTAGTTTTGTATTCTTTGTAAGATGTTTAGTTCATTTTGTAGTGTTGTCTAAATCCGAAACTCTTTTTCATGCAAAGTATATACAGTAAAACCTGTTTTAGTGAACACCTCTCTAGTGAACACCTGTACATGTATTTAGTTAACACCACTTCAAGACACATTTTACATTAACTCCTGTAAAAAGATCCCCTTGCTGTAGCGAACACTTGACTACAGTGAACACTTTTTGTGGCTCCATCTGTATTTACTATATACAGGTTTTACTGTATATGGTTATAGCTACCATGTTAGGAGATGGTCTCATAATACAAATTAAAGTGGCAACAAGGCATGTAGAGACAAATTGAAAAATGTCACTTTTCTGAGCTCTCATAATAATGTTTGGCTTAACATCTTCTTTGCCAGACCTATTCTCTTAAAATGTATAGACACGCCTATCTATTTTAGCATTTAGAAGTGTAAATTAAGTTTGAAATGTCTATAAGTGGGGTCCCACTTATAGATTTCTAAGATATAATACATTTCAAGATTTTAACTGCAGGAATTTCAGCTGAAATAATGTTCATACAGGGGGAAAATAGATGTTAGCCTTGATGAAATATCCAAACTTCGATATATTTTGACTCTAGGTCCATGATCCATGGACCATTTGATACTTCTCTGCACTAATTATCCCATCAAACGAAGTTCGGAGGGATATAGGGAACGCCTCCGTCCGTCCGTCCGTCTGGGCAATAACTCAAATACCGTTAGCCTGATTTTGTTCATATTTTTTACACATATACCCTATGGGGCTAGAAGTTCTGCTCGAAAGCCGATTTTCAAAATGGCCACTCATTTCAAAATGGCGGCCATTTTAGTGCCGATTTTACAGTAATTTAGGTGCAATATGTAAAACTGTAATAGCAATATGTTTTAAATGTAAAAAAATTATGTAGGACATTAATAAAGCTACAAATGGAGATATTGAAAAAGCACATGGCAGCCATCTTGAAAAATAGCGGCCTTTACTCGTTATTTTACGATTTTTGCTGTAACTCGAAAAGTAGTGGAGCGATTTTGTTCATATTTGGTATGTGAATACTATAAGCATTGGACACTGTCTAAAGACATTTTTGGTAGAAGGCGGCCATTTTGAAAAATGGCCGCCATTTTAACGTATTTTACTATAACTCGAAAAGTAGTGGAGCGATTTTGTTCATATTTGGTATGTGAATACTATAAGCATGGCACACTGTCCTATGACACTTTTGGTAGAAGGCGGCCATTTTGAAAAAAATTTTGAAAAATGGCCGCCATTTTAACGTATTTTACTATAACTCGAAAAGTAGTGGAGCGATTTTGTTCATATTTGGTATGTGAATACTATAAGCATGGCACACTGTCCTATGACACTTTTGGTAGAAGGCGGCCATTTTGAAAAAAATTTTGAAAAATGGCCGCCATTTTAACGTATTTTACTATCACTCGAAAAGTAGTGAAGCGATTTTGTTCATATTTGGTATGTGAATACTATAAGCATGGCACACTGTCCAATGACACTTTTGGTAGAAGGTGGCCATTTTGAAAAATGGCTGCCATTTTAAGGTATTTTACTATAACTCGGAAAGTATTGGAGCGATTCTGTTCATATTTGATATGTGAATACTTTAAGCATGGCACATTGTCTGATAAAACTTTGGGGAGTAGTCGGCCATTTCGAAAAATGGCCACCATTTTTATGTGTGTTATTTTACAAGTATATGTGTGTGATTTTTCAAAAATTTTATAGGTGGCTACTTTAAAGCATATTATTTCTTCTGATGACAACTTGGCTAGTGAGCAACCATTTTGAAAATGGTGGCCTTTCTGGTGTGTTGTTTTATGATATTTGCTATATATTTCGTTTGTAAAAATGCCAGCCATTTCTTTTCGATGGGATTTGCTACGCTTTGGCGTTGCCATTGTTCTGGTTGTTCAACCTTTAACATATTAATGTATTTGGTAATTTAAGTTACTTGGTTGATAATGTTGATCCTTTTTATTTACCCCATGTCTCTTGGTTTTTGATCACTTTTGCAACCATTTCTAACTAAATATTTCTGTGATACTAAATATTTTTGCTAGATAAATAGGGCATCTGTATGCACATCCTGTGAAGATATCATCAGAATATCAGTGTTCTCCACATGGTTTTTCTTAAGTGGGTGAAATTTTTTTTCATTTTCACAATTCAGGCCAAAATTGAGCCAAATATGCCCATTTTTCATGATTTTTCTCATTTTCAAGTAGTTGCAAATGGATTTACAGGTGTGTGCAAGCCTGTTTTTAAAATCTCAGATGGGTGCTGCGCCCACTTGCTTTAATGCAGGGGAGATCACTGAATATATTGAAAAATATAGAAATTAGAGAGAACTTTATATTCAACCTTCATGTGTATATATTTCTCTACACTCGTACATTTCAGTACAGTTCATGGATATTACTTTGAGTTTTAGATGTAATATCCCATTGACTAATATATCACATTGACATTGTCCTTATATGTTTTTAGCATAACTCGGAAGGTATTAAAGATATCTGGATGTATTAGGTCTTTTTAATTTTTGTTATAAAAAATAATGTTCTATTTTTTGTCCAGCTTGGGGGAGCAGTTTTGTATTTTACATTTGAAACTGCTCCCTGAAGCTGGACAAAAAAAGGAAACAATATTTTCTATAAAAAATTAAAAAGACCCAATACAATTATCTTTCATTATTACCTTCAGAGAAATGCTGAAAACATATATAAATATTATCATGTCACTATATCGTGGCATTAAAAATTTAAAACAGAACTAGTACATTTTCGAGTATGTGCTGGCCCTTTTTCTTTGGTACTACGAAGGTTCTCTTAAAGTGTTGTTTAATTGATTGATAAGTATTTTATAAACCATGCTTTTTTAAATAAATAGTATTCATGATTTAAAAATGCACAACTTAAACCAAAATGTGGGCACTCAAATGCCTAGGTCAAATCTGAGGTAAAATTCTGTGTTTCCTTATTTTTGTGAGCCTGACCCTCTACTTTGAAAGGTCCACATGCAGTATGGCAAGTGATTTTAGAGAGTCATATCTTTCACCATGAGTACTTTCTGGGCATAAATACAGTGATTTTTATTAAAACAATATGTTTTCTTTCAAGTGAAGTCCCCCTGATGATAAAAATATCAATTGAACAATTCGAAAAATTATAAATAGGGACCCCACGTCAACAATTTTTTCATAATGTTGGAACTTATTTGCTTAAAAGAGGAACTTCTTTTTCTGATTTTTATTGCATGAAAAGATTATTCAACAAGGGGTCTAAAACATCTTCAAAAGTAGAATGGTATTGAAAGTCTAGTTTTGAAGATATCAATTTTCGAGGACCAAAATCATGCTGAAATTAATGGATAGCATTAGTTTTCCCTATGGGAAAATAATATGGGAAAAGTGTTTTTTAACTTTATCACATTTCAATACCCATGTCCCCTTTTCAGAAGTTATTAATACAGCGTAGAAGAAACTTTTGATATATTCAAATTGAGACAAATAAGATCCTCTTTTTAGAAAATAAGCCTTACGTTTTTAAAAAAAACAATTAAAGATGACAGTTAAGTAGCCATAGACAAATCAACTACTATATACATGTAGTATTATTATTTTCTCCAAAACTAAAAGTCTCAGTTCTATGTTATTTCCTTGCTATTATCTTTGTCTTCTAATCACCTTATTATTGTACTGAATTTATTAGATATTTCTTGTTTATATATTTTATTTTATGTTTTGTAATAAAGATGGCACTTAAAGATTATACTATCTCTCATATTTGATCCAATGTTTTAAACAATTTTATTTAAATTCAGTTTCGTTTTGTTTTGTTTAACCATAAATCAAGTGTAAAGCTTCAATATAAAATGAAAGTAGATAAGAAAATTACAACAAAAATATCATTGTCTGAGACAATTATCTTAATAATTCATTATACATTCTTGTTTATATAAAATTTTTGCATTTACCATCAGCTAAACATGAAGAGAGAATAGAGAAAGTTATTTTTACATATTGTCTATGATATGTTATGTTCAGTTAAACGCAATGATACTTCAAAAATACTTCACATTAACAAATATGCAAGTACACAAGAGTCAAAAGAGCAAAGGAATCATCAATCAACCACTTGTCTTTCTGTCTGTCCTTTCAACAGTCAACAATTTTAAACAAATGAAACTGCCATTTCTGTGGACCAATACTCATTTTATTTCATGGGATTTATTCTAGTGATTATCCCATCGAACGAAGTTCGGAGGGATATAGGGAATGCCTCCGTCCGTCCGTCCATACGTACATACATCCGTACGTACGTACGTACGTCCATCCGTCCGTCTGTCTGTCCGTCCGTCTGTCCGTCCGGGCAATAACTCAAATACCGTTGGCCCGATTTTGTTCATATTTTGTACACATATACCCTATGGTGCTAGAAGTTCTGCTCGAAAGCCGATTTTCAAAATGGCTGCTCATTTCAAAATGGCAGCCATTTTAGTGCCGATTTTACAGTAATTTAGGTGCAATAAGTAAAACTGTAATAGCAATATGTTTTAAATGTAAAAAAATTATAAAGGACATTAATAAAGCTACAAATGTAGATATTAAAGAAGCATATTGCAGCCATCTTGAAAAATGGCGGCCTTTACTCGTTATTTTACGATTTTTGCTGTAATCGAAAAGTAGTGGAGCGATTTTGTTCATATTTGGTATGTGAATACTATAAGCATGGCACACTGTCCTATGACACTTTTGGTAGAAGATGGATATTTTGAAAAATGGCCACCCTTTTAACGTATTTTACTATAACTCGAAAAGTAGTGGAGCAATTTTGTTCATATTTGGTATGTGAATACTATAAGCATGGCACACTGTCCTATGACACTTTTGGTAGAA